GTGCCTGTGCGGTAAGGTCATTGAAACATCATGGCGCACCCTGTACTCCCATTGGCATGCGGCAATATGCCTCGTATCCGCGCCCTTCTGTATGGAAGCATAGATATGGTTGACTTTCCTTCTCTACTGGTATAGCATAGAATCCCACTGCAAAGTCAAGGACGCAAATATATTCATGCCCCGCTAATCGTTGTTGTTTTTGCGTTGATGTCTCCTTGCAGTGTCGGTGCTACATTGGATACTTTATTGACCTCGTTAAAGTTCTGGCAGATCCGCCATTTCACTTTGGTTGGGTCAACAGGTTCCAGTGTCCTTTCCAGTGTTGAGTTCGGATCTAGATTCGGGTCCGGAGGCCCACCTAGCTCTATACACTGCTGATTGACGATGTGTCTTATGTCATCCAGCGATAAGCTAGTACCTGAGTGAGTTTTCTGTACTAGCACCGTAGACGCTACTGCTTTGACTTCATCTGCTGGTATGAATCGAGTAATTCCTGCCTTTCTCATCTCATCCAGAACTGGGAACAGGTATTCTCTTTGTGGTTGTGTCAACGGGCGCTGATGGACCTTCTTGGGGAAGACTGTATCTGGCGGTATCGACAACCGGAATTTGACGAAGTCTACCTGTTTCACCTCTCTGGTTGATAATGCAAATACGTCAGCGAACTCAGTAACTAGACTTTGCACTGTGTGGCATTGTTCATCCGTAAGTTGTGGTCCATAATGGACGGTGTTCACGACTGTTTCCACTCACGGTGGGTAGAATGGTCCGAGAGGAGTTAATCTAGTGAACATATCACTTGATGGGCTAGGATGTGCGAGGTCTGGTACTTCACCTAGGATCGGGTTGTTCTCTGCTTCATCTGTGTGCAATATATCATGCTTGTCTTGATCCAACGGTGTTTCTATGTTCATGTTGTTAGTGGGATCTTTAGGTGTTTGAAGAGGGGAAGGAAACTTAGTTGCAGATGGGAAGCTTATTGCGGTTGGAAGACATGGGAGTGGGAGTGGTCGGAACGGTGCAAGATTATATATATGATGCTGTGATCCTTGCGATGTAAGCATGATGGAGTTGTTGCTGTAGTCCTGCATGGCCTGGGACTGTTCAAGTAATGGTTTGCCTATTAACATGCGCCAGAATCCTCCACTGGGAAAGACCTCAAATGAGGTCTCTAACTGTAGAGGCCCCCATGTAACCTGTCCTGTCCAAACGCCTGTTGATGGGACCAATGATCTATCAGCCATCCTTAGTGTACGTTGTGAGGGACTTAGCGTAGTTAGTCGTTGTGCTATTCATTGGAATGCTACTGCATTGATGGCGTTTATCATTGCGCCGTTGTCCACTGTCGCTAGGAATTGGACCTTTTCTCCTTGAGGTCCATGTAAGATTGGGACCGTTAAGAACGGGTCGCTAGTTCTTGTTTGAATTGGATTCCCTGATGCGTCCACCATATAGACATCAGTGATAGAATTGTCCTGCATAGGAGAAGGTACAACCAGAGAAAATTCTGCCCTAGCGATAATAGGATCTGTCTCTTCCAACTTGGAAGAGGTTAACGAAACTGCTGTGCTCATATCATCAGTGCGCTCTCTATGAGAATGAAGGGAGGGGAAGGCATAGTGGTAGATATCTTATGTATAGTAGGTAGCATATGTGTTAAAACTGGAGACAATTGTATGTACGTGGGTGGAGTCTGTGTTTGGGGGACTGCTACTGCTCCACAGTAGGTAGGGGTCCCCCGTAGTTTTCCGGCTCCCATTCATATCCTGCTTCTTGTTGTGCCCACACATTGCTGTGCTCCCACCAGTTCTGTTCTTCTTGTACTGCGAACACTGGTGGTGTCATTGGGGCCCCATATTGCTGATAGTACGGGTGTACTGCTTGCGTAGCGTGTGCTATCGTATATGTGGGGGTCGTTATCTGCCCTGGAACTGCCCGTCGTAACATTGCTGCTACGTGCTGGCGCCACCTTGACTCTTGGGGCCGGAGGGTTTTGGTCGTGACGCACTGTGAGCTGAGGTGCGTCGGTTCTGTAACTATCCCACAGGTATAACATTCACCTGATCCGACGATTGCTGTGCCAGGACGTAATAGATATGGCCGTTCTAGGGATGGGACTCCTTTCGTGCCGTGCATGCGATGCCACGTGTTCACATCCGCCTCATACTGACGTACCCCTGCCTCTGTGTTCTGGCGTTGCAGTACTGCATTCAGCTTCTCCATAATCTGCGCCCTTGTAAAGGCTGTGCGCATGATTGGGTTGCCTCGCCACCCCATAGGGTTCATTCCTGCGCCCCGTACTGGTCTGCTAATTGGTGCCATCGACGCTCCTTGACTTATTATAGCATTTGGGTTTGCGTTAGGGGGTGGTGTAAGGAATGGGATAGTGTTTGTGTATGCGTGTGACGCTCGAACATATGGTTGTGCTGGGCGTCCATTGTCCATGGATAAGTGTGAAAATTGGAAGGGAATAGTATTGAGCGCTGATGAGTTCTGAGCCTTCAACTGTGCAATGTTGGCGTCTCGCGTGCGGTTCATGTTCAGGTCTTCCTTGGCTCTCTTTAGTTTGACCGCTGGTACACTCTCCACGTCTTGAGGGAATTCTTGCCACGATGCGCATGAACAAGTGCAATATGTTGGGTATCCCTTCGATTGTGTATTCCACTAAGAGTCCTGTGCTGTCGCCCATGCCCATGGCGATACGCATGACCTTATTGGCCCAGATGACGTTGTCCATAGTTGCCTGTAGGTTCCCCTGGTAACCATACTCCAATATCTTCCTCTTTCAACGTCTGTGCCATCACTCGTTCCTTCTGTTGCGCTCGGGAGTACTGTGGTGGTTTTGGTGGCGGCCACCTTAGCATGAATTCTCGGTGGAGATGCGCAAATGAGCTGCATGATAGGATGCTTTCATCAAACCATTGGTCTGCCGTGCTTCCTGGCGCAAGCTGCATCTTGAATCATTGTATATGCTGTATGTCCAAGTAGCTATCTGGCATGGAAAGTTGAAATTGGGTGAACCATAGTGATGGCTCTTCCTTCTCTCTATAGTCGCCATGGAATAGCGGTACTGAGCGAGGGTTATCGCTGCCCATGGTTAGCGTTTGGGGACAAGGTGTAGGGTACGGTTTTGTGTTTATGAATGATGATGTGGAACTAGGGGTGGTAGAACCGCTATCGCGCTGAGTTGGCGTAAAATGAGCTGGATGTAAGTGTGTCATAGGGCTATCTGGCTCGTTTTCCGATGGTGATCCCACTCGGATAGACTGGCGTAGAAGCGGAGGGGCCGAAATGTTGCGCAGATGGCAAGGGGTGGTTATTCCTGATTTGATGTTGTCTCCCTGTACAGGAGTGGTTGATGATGTGGATGAAGGAGTTTGAGTATTGGTCAATAGAAAACTTTGGGATGTGAGCTGTCATATACGAGCAACGTCGTTTACCGTGAGTCGTTCTGGTTCTCTGGCTGCTGTTGCCAATGTGTATTCCGTCATGCAATGGGTCGTTGTCCTACTCTCATCACCAGATGACCTGGTCACACCCGGCACTCAGGAGAGGATGGGAACCACTGCTGTCTATGATGATGGTGTGTGCTATGTGTCCTCTACATGTCTATGTGCGCTGGACCTCTGAGACCTGCAAGACCCCCTGGCACCCCTCTGCCTACTCCTCCTGCCTGCTACTTCCCGTCCCACCAGCAACCCCTGGCGCAACCCGCAGCACAATACATCTTTAATGGGAGGAGATGTCTGTTTTCCCTGGGGAAAATCCTCAGCGCACAATCAGAACCACGCAGACCAACTTCATCCGGAACAGTTTCCAGACCCATTGGAAGTAATCCATAGGTCAGATGCATCATTGCGTTCAGCTGCTGGAATGCCAGGACAGTATCATCCGCCCCGACTGTGTAAGAGTGTTGAACTACAAATCGAATGCATACTCAAATGTACATACTGTATAGTATGCCATGCTAACCATGCCAACATGCCAACTGCAAATCGGATTAGTACCAAAAATCAGAGATAATAACCACTTACCACAACCAAACTCTATCAAGCCTCCTGTGCTCACAATTGGTCTGCCCACATGGTTTTCTGCCACAATAGGCTCCCTAATGACCCGCAGTTAATGTCACTGGACAATTTATAACCAATCAGCAGTTCATATGTACAATGTCTGGGCTACTCTGGGCTATGCTATTCATACAAATAACACCTCGTTTATCAAATTAAGGATTTACTGGTGGGCAACGATAATCTCCATCCTCTGGAACTTCTTCTTTGATACTGTGAATGATGAGCGTTGGTCAACCAACCAAGAAGCATCATAGAATGCTCTTGGCAGGCCTTCGATTGCTGTTCAAGAAGACTTTGATTTAGCATTACGAAGATGCTTTGCAGGCTTGCTTCCACGAGGAGTGAAAACTGCAGCACCCATCAAACGCTGTTGGTCAATAATCTGCATCTCGTAAGTGAAATCTGCTCTCCATGGCATACTTTTCTAATGAAAGACCTGAATGTCTCCATCTTCGTGCTCACTCTCGTCAGAGCTCATGCCATCTTTGCCAAGAATTCTCCACAATATCCTGAAGATACTCCCACACTGCCTGATCATGCTTTACTGTCGCAATCCTATCACTCAGGAAGCGTCGACCATGACTTTTTTTCGAGTCTCGAACTTCTATTGGATAGCTCAATATGCTTCCATACTCTGAAAAAAGGTAACTGACCGTCACCCTGTGAGTGAGGACCCTAGCGAGCCGCAGTCGCTCATCTGTTTGATCCACAAGTCGATCTCCCACTTGTTGCGCGGTCTTGCGGAGTACCGTCGCTGAGGCTGAGAGGTTGGTGAACCCTTCTCCAAACACTTGCGGCATTGACGAATTTCAGTGTAATGTCATCTCTTAGATTGAGAAGATCGTCTAGCCCATCCGTTTGCCACTGACTAGTTGCATACTGGGAACAAAGTAAATCAATGACATGTTGGTTCCCACATGGAGTGTGTGTGTCGTCATATCCCATCGCATTGCAAGTGGGTCAGGACCAGGGCCCGTTCCATGTGCGAAAGACAATATAGCTTCATGTGACGCTGACACATGAAGCATAAATTCTTCGTCTTTTGTGGCGTGGAATGCATTTTTGAACAACTCTCGGACATTTGCCTAATGTTTGCATGAGCAGAGGTATTTGCTTTAAGTAATTACGAACCTTATTGTCTTGGCGCTGGGTATCCATGAAACTTTCAACAGGGGGTTTAAGCCGTTTGCGTCTTGGGCAAGGTCCCCGGGAAGACATCATTTGAGGAGTCTGAAGAACCTTTGCAAGTGCCTCAGCAAGCATGCCTATGGTCGCGTTCATGATCGGGACATCTCCTAGGAGTGAAGTCAGGGAGGGTCTACTGTCTGTCTGAGGTTCCTCGTCCGTCCGCTTCAGATCGGAGCTGGAACGGGAATCTATAATGCACGGTGTCACAGACAATGTGCATGTGAGTCATCGGCTTACTGGCGAAAACCCAACGATATTGGTACATGTAGCCACAGGTTTTTTGCCAACAAGATGCTGCCAGGCAGGTGCAAACGCAGGTGATAGAGCATTGGCATGTCGAATTTGATTCTGTGAAATGGTAAGAACTCTGGAACACCAGCAATTCAATACGTACATCCAACGAATTAATTTTGGAACTATACTTGACGTCCAAGCGGGTTAATTCAGATTCATTGTCAGCCAAAAGTCTATCTCTTGCTAAACCCATTTCGTGTTCAAACTGAGATTCTTCTCGGCCAAGAAGTGTTCTATTTCAGCGCAGGCCTCTGTTTGGGCCTTTTGACGATCAAGTACCATATTGTTCTGTCAATGCAAGTCAGAATGTTTATATGACGGCAAAAGCATCCTACCTGAAGCTCTGCAACTTCTTTACGATCGTTCTCGTCCAAGGAGGTGAGGGCATTAGTACTGTCATCCTGAAGAGATTGATTCTGTTGTTGATGCTGTGCAATGGCTGACTGCAGCTGTGATTCGCGGACGTTCGAAGTGATCTGAAGCGAATTAAGTATGGGCACGAGGGATGTGAGATTACATTTACCTGCATGTGGCGCTTTCGAAGTAAAAGATCATGATTTCTAAAATTTAGCTTGCACACATCTTCGCGCAGCTTGGATGACTGATCGACTCTTTGAGAAAGACTTTATTGGGCTAAACATTCGTTAGCTAATATAAGGAGGCAAATTTGATGATCCCCACTGGCTGCTCGTCGTCATCTCTCGCCCTACGAGCAAACTGCCAAGGATTATCTAACTCCATTGCAGATCCTCGTTGAAGGAAAGAGCCGGTTGCGGTGGGTATGTGTGCATTATTGCTGAGGGACGACAATCATTGTGATCTATGCCAGCCAACATAGCATTTGCAGGTGGGTACGTATGTGTTGCGGCCGAACAAAGTTTGTGGAGGGGGTGGACTCCACAACTTCAGGAACCGGAACGTCCGAAGAGAAAAGGGACATCAGACAGGACATCTTGAACCAACAGGATATTTTGCAATCAGCAACTTTATCTTATCTGAAAGATGACTCACTCATTGTGTAACCGAATGTGAAATGTTGACGATCTGGATCCTTAGACTATATCACATTCAAACCAAACAAACCCTGGTATCATGATAACATGCTTTATCAACAATGGCATTCTGACCGCTTCTGGCACAAAAGTATTGACTATGGCTTCCCAATCCTTCTGGAATAACGCA